AAATCTGAATCTCCCAAGCATCCCGAATACTGAAACATCCCGAATTTATGCTCCCAAATCAGAATAATCACATGGCTGTACCTGCACAGCTGACCAGTAGTGCATAAAGAAGTGTTCTATAAACAACCAAATCCATATCCAGTAAGTTATAATATTTTTTTATTCATGTTAGAATTTCTATCAGTGTTTGAACATTAATATTTAGAGAGCTTGTACATTTCCATTCAAAGTTTAAAATGAGAACCATGCTAGATCAGAAATTGTAACTAAGACACAGTTCAGAATTGTATGAATATTCACACTCTCTTTCTCTAACACTGTTAAACACTTTCTTTTCTGCCAGGGGGTTTACAAGGAAAAGTGTGCACCGTAATCATATCTCAGCAGTGTTCCAAAACATAATGGTATCATCATTACATATAAACTCTTTAAAAATATACTTCTGTCAAAAGACTTGATGACTACTATGTACACTACAAAAATAAATTTTCATATAAATAAATTATATGGCATAATTTTATCTTTGTAACTGAAATGACACTAACCCACTCCTACCAAAACAGGCAGGCAATGAGACCCAGTTTGAATATTTTTTTTTCCTTTTAACTCCTTATGCTAAAACCTACAATGAGTCCTTAATGTAAATGTTATATACTCTTTCCTATTTAACATTAGTAAGCACTCTATACAAATAGAAAACCATTAAACAGTAAAAACTTAGCTGTAATAGTGTTTCCAATAGAAATAAAATCCCTGCATCTTGTTTGTTATAAACTGGCATGACAAATACTGTAAGAAAACATTCTTATGATACAAAAATATAAATATCACCCATGATTAAAAAAGTTAAAAAACAAAAGAAAATAATTGTTGCCAGCCACTGAGTTCTCCCCTGGCCAATGTAACTATCGGAGAAGAAGGTCTACACTGCGCACGAAGCAGCAGACAGCTCACCCATACACATGCATGCAGGACTCGGGCAGGGGCACGTGAGAGCACTGTGGCCACCCTGGCCCCCTTCCCTCCCTCCGAGGAAGAGGAGGGAGTGGAGCAGCCGCCGCAGCGGTGCCAGGGGGAGCCCCACTGACCTCTGACATGGGAGCACACTCACTCAGCGGCTGAAGGCAGCTTCCCATGGTATCATACCGCCTTGTTTCATCTGAGGTCACTACACTGCTAGTGCTAAACTGGGGCCCCTCGTCCTTTTGCCATGAAGAGTTTTCATGTCAGACAGTGAACTGGACCAGTAGGCAGTTGCGAAATTAACCCTTAGTGTGCATCGAAACAGTAGCTTATGTATCACGGGAATGCCACTGGGCTCTCGCCACCTGCTCTTCGAGCGTTCACATTGGAGATCTGTAAACAAGTGCCTCATATCAAAGTGTTTTCAAGTGAGCAAAAAAGGCATGGAAATTTGTGCATTCTAATTATCCCCATTTGTTATGCTGGCAAGGTCTGTGGACAAAGATAGACTCCCTGAAGCCACTGGAGAAAAAACACTTTCTCATCAAAGAATTGGCCACTGCTGTTCAGACATCATACTTAAAGAAAAGCCCCACCACTGCTGTGTTTAGAAACTGAATATTGGTTGTGTTTGTTTGGCTCTGCATACACAATTGAACATCTAACTGCTCTAAGAAAAACAGCTTGGTGAAGGGCAGAAAAAAGATGAAGAAAGAGGAAGACAGAGATCATGAAAACTTCTGTTACTTTAAATTACAGTTCTCCATTCTTAGGGTTTGTTTCCAGCTGGAACACAGATTGTAGTGTTTTTTTTTCAGAACCTTCACCTGCAGCAATCCCCATTTAGTTTAAAAATAATAATACAAAAAGCTAAATTAGTTTCACAAAGAGATCCCAGTTTAGCTGTTTTAATTAAAAGTGCCAATGCAGCATGGGAAAACAAACTATAGAGGAAAAGAACACCCCAGGCCTTTCATGTCATTACAGTCCTGGACCCATCAGAAAGCCATTTTTATATTTAAAAAGTGAAAATAGATTTTTTTAAATCCTTCCATTTGATTTTTATCATTTACTATTAACTTCCTTCCTGCCATGAAAATAAGGTTACTGCTTTTGATGGTGTAAGGACACAGCTGAGCTGTGACTCATCATCGAACAACTCAATTATCCAGATTCTAATGCCACTCAGAGTTAACAGTATCAGTACCAAAATAGGGCATATACTTATTGAATTTCTATAACCACCAGCACCTCTCAATACCCAGCACCTTTGGAAGTGAAAAAAGGATGGTTATAGTGTTTGCATGTACTTGGCACCTTTGCAAGAAAAATAAAAATCAAAATCAAAGCACTACAAGAACAGTAATTAAGCCTCACAACATTTCTGGGAGGTAGGTAAATGTAATTACACCCATTTTACAGAATGAGAAACTGAGTCAAGGGGCAGTTAACTGACTTGACCAAAGCCATGTGAACCAAGTCATTAAGAGTGTGGGAAACGGAGCCACAACCCCCTGTCTTCTCTTCTATTTTAGATGGGCCTTTGATGATGGCAGTCTATGGTATATGTTGGTAAACACCAACACAGTTTTCACTAGTGCCTGCTAACAGGGAAAGCCAGACTCACATCAGCATCAGTGGGTTTATAAGCCCACCAAGTGTTACCATACAGTAAAAGCAAAACTATGGTAGTACACCAGGAACATACACACAAAAGCATGTACAATTCCAGATGCACACATGGATACACACAGCAGAACAAAACCTGCACATAGCTAAATCAATCTAAGCCTCCCAGATTAACTTGCATTTCTTCATATTTGCTTATTTTAAAAATTAGCACGCATGGCGTGTTTGAAAGTTAACAGTAATGATTTCATTCTACCACAGGGTTGTGATACGCAAATTTAAAATATTTTAAACAGACATGTACCTTTTAAAAAAACATCCTATCACATAAGCAATATTTGCATAGAATTACACAAGTAAATTATACAGTATTTAAGAAGCAGCAGCAACTTATGCTGAAATTTAGAACTAGATTAAGCTTAGTTGCGGCACAGAGATCAATGTACAGAAAGTACAAAGCGCACACAATATTGTCCCCATTCTATTGCCCAGAGGCAAATTACTCCAGATTATACTACTTTACATTGTTCTTTTGTATATTACATATGTATACATCTTTTAAATACTTAAAGAAATATTTAACAAAATAATACAATAGGTTACAGTAACAGAGAACTGTTGTCCTGATGCAGCATGTCCTTTTCTACAACTTCAAGCAGTTCTTCTCTTCAAGCAGTTCTGGAAATACAGTTTTCCATCTTTGGCCTCTTCTTTGCTTCAGTTATTACCCTTCACAAATTAAGAGGGAAGAAAACCAAACAAGCATTCATTAAAGTTCAAGAGAAACAAACAAATCAAGCTAATCCAAAACTAATTTAGTAATTCTTGTGGTTACAGTTAGTCAGCAAACCTGGGCTCTGCTTTCATGTCTGTCATGAATTTCCTAGTAAAGGGATACTGATGCCAATTAAAAAATGGTGAATGCTTTAATTGTTGAGTTCCCAGCTTTAGATACTTGTGACAAATTCAGTGAAAACCAATAAACACTTCAAGGAGAAATACACTATGCTGAATACTGCGCACAGTTAAGAATCTTGTATTACCATGCAGTTCAGCTTGAAAAAGCTGAGCCCAAGTATTTCCTTATTCTGAGGATATTACTTGCCATATTTCTAGACTGCGAGGCTAGAGGCATTCAGGACTATCTGCACTTTTGAGATGGTTAGAGAAACATTTTCTAAATCAGAAGGTGATTTTATTATGAATCATCAAAAAATTTACATGCAAACTGTCTATGTGTGTTTGAGTGCACGTGCCTATGTGTGAAAGACTTCTAAAACCAAAATAAAATGCCTTGCTCTGGTCAAACTAGTGTCTGCCACTGTAAACTTCTGAAAAGCAAGGAAACAGATCCACAGCTAAGTAACTATTTTACACTTCCTTGTTCCTCCAAAAAAGAAAAACAAGAGTTAAAATAGCAAGAAACAATTTTTCAGGCACAAGCCCCAAAAAGCTTTCAGGCTAAAACTCAACTAGTTTCTCCCCTTCAAAGTATTTTCTGTAAAATTAATGGAAAAATTTCAAGAAAATTAACATCTTTACTCTTTTTTTTCTTTCCCAAACATCTGCTAAAATATCCCGTCTGTTCTAAAGCACTGTTTCCTGTAACCTTCTCCTGCCAGCCTTAGGAGAGACAATGATTTAGGTTATCAAGGCTCTCAAGTTCTCCTGTGTATCTGCTGTTTCACAGGAACACACTGAACACCTTGGTAGGCCAACTCTACCCTACATAGATCTACAGTAGCCACTGTAGCTGCCCCCAGCAAGGGAGTGATTGGCTCAAGGCCTCCTCCAGAGTGTGAGTCTGCTGGGCGGGTCTCTGAGTGCCCCCTGCAAAGTGCAGGGCACGCCCTGCCATGCAGCAGTGCAGAGGCATGGTGGCGCCTTCCCACCTCTCACTCTTCCAGAGGGATTCATTCCTCACCACGGACTTCAAAATCTTTCATGGAGTTTTATTCAAGAGAGGACAACTCTTAAAGTAGCTAGCAAATGTACACACTCCTAGACAACATCATTCTGAATGATGTTTTAAAACGTGCCTGATTCAGGGGCTGTAAGAACCTATCAACAGCAAATGCAGTTGCACACCTTTGAAGACATTACACAACATCTCTGCTTCATTCTCCTCATCTGGTAAACTGGGATTGTACAATGTATTTACCCACTTTGCAAACCTCTTGGAAGTAGTTCCTATCAGAACCCACTATAACCTCTCACTGTTGGAAGTACTATCTTATCCAACTTGATTCCTAGTGCAAAATGTACTATATTCCCAGTCAGCACATTTAAAGTAAAGTAAACCTACCTGAAGGAAAGGTACCTCAGATAAATTTTAGCTTTCTCGTTTCTTTCAATTGCACTGTTGCCTGGTATACGCAAAGCTTGCAGATACAGGAGACGGACCTACCTTACTGTGAGCTGTTGCCAGGTATCCTTTCCTCACATTCAACATCTTGCAGTTCTATAACTTCTACTTTAGAATTTCTTCTTTCACACCACACATTAAAAGGCACATGGGGGTCCTCAAATGGCCCATGATCAGCTTCATGGTGTCCCTCATAGGAAGGAAAGCTCCCTCCCCGGGAGCTGTGGCTGTGCACCGCAGGGTGAACAGCAACAGTCACTGAAGCTGAGGCAGTCACAGTAGTGATGGGCTGGCAGTATGCTGGTCCTGCAGCGCCCACGGCGCTGAACGCTGGGCTCCTCATGTTATGAGAGCGAGCCCTGTGGCCTAAGCGATCCCTATTGCTAGGTCCTGAATGCCCTTCAGTAGAAATCTCAAAAGCGTCCCTGCGAGGGCGGTAAGGAGGTGGTCGCAGCCCTTCCCTTGCTTCCCGTTTGGGTTGTCTGCCCTGACGCCACGCCTGTTGCGCGCTGCAGTCTGGATTCAATTGCAATCTGGGACTTGACTGATGCCTTGTCTCTGGCTGAACCACCTGAAAGAAAGATGCACTGTTACGCCTCCAACAAAATGAGGCAAACAAATACTATGCTTGCTTATATTTTATGCTGAGAAAAATTATAATAATGCTGTCCTGGCTCTAACTCTACAAAGGTAATGTTCCAGAGTCTGGTAATTGTTGATTTTTCCAGATAGCTTTTGTCTTGATTTTTCCATATAGTTTTTATCTGAGGCTATTAAAACCTGGAAAACATACGTTCAGAAAAACACGAACTGACAGCTGAAAACATTATTGTAAGATTCCTACATACTGGTCCATCTTTTCAAAGGAATAGGTAACAAGCACTTGATCTTAACTCCTTCAACAAACAGAATTGCAGGCAGTTGGAAAAGACTCTATTCCATGCAGGATATATACACGCACAGGATGTTATAGGGTAGTTTGTATAGACTGTAGGAATCTGTTTTCTGATTTCAGTAAAAAGCGTGAAGCGCAGCGGCCACATCAGTCAATAAACCGTGACCAACTTCAAATGTGGCTGTGCTTGTACCTATTTCTAGGCTTCTCCTGAACAAAATCAGATCCGCATTGCAGCTCAGCATGCAGCATCAGCAGGGGTATGAGACAGAGCTTTTTCACTTTCCTTTGAAATCGCAGTTATGCCAACCCAGTAGCAAGATGTAACAGGCCCAAGATTTGGTACAACCCTGAAACTGTTTTCTTCTGACTCTATCAATCTTTCTCCCCAAAATACACTGTCAGAGAGAGGTACATGAGACGGTGATCCACGGGGAGCTGAGCTGTGTGGAAGAGGTCTGGGTCTTTTAATCTCTCCCCATTCTCTGAGAACAGTCATCAAACAGACTGAGAGCTCTCTCTTGTGGCTGGTGCCATATGATGTAAGAGCAATTACACATGCCAGAGAACTCTGCTTTTGCACGATCATTTTACCCCCACCTTGATTCTAAAGGAGAGGACAATGAAAGCCTTCACTCCCTGCTTACAAGGCTTGGCACAAAGTCACGAAGCATAATCAGCCAGAAATATGAAAGGGGTTTCCACAAAAATAAATAGATGTAAATAACAAAAACCCAAAACACTCTTCTTACCCTCCTGCCAGTCAGTATGCAAGCTACTTACAGTGGATCTCACAAAGACAGGATTCTCAGTGGCTTCAACTATTACTTGATGGACTGGTGCCCCAGGGCTGTGGGTAGCCTCATACTGATGAAGCTCTTCACTGATGCCGGACACTGTGGTTTGGGAGCTGTACTCAGAATCAGAGGAGTCTGACCCATTATTTGTGTGCCCAGGCGGCAGCACAAACCTCACGATGCTGGGGGGCGGCTCAGGAGATGGTGTGGGCAGTCTGTCTCGTCCATTGGCTGGAGAAACCTGATAATGACAATGCATTCAGTAACATTCAAGTACCACTACCCTTTTAATGATTAGTGCTTGACACAAATGTTCTTCCGCCAAATACACTCTCATGTGCCATGAGAACCTTAGCACCAGTTTTCTGATGAACATTTATACTGATCTGAAAAAATTAATTAAAGAAAAAGACACATGATCCCCATCTGTGGACATGTATGTAAACAGGATTACACAGATTCTTTTGGGTATCGTTGTCTCAGGAAGTGCATGTGTATGCGTGTGCGTGCATGCACTTACATTTATAAATATAATACATAGACTTCCTTCGCCCTTCAGCATACATTCAGAGTGATTTCATAAAAACACCTCAAATGTGTCTGTATAGCATGGTTCACTGTGTATTTGCAAAGAAAGATAGACATGGCTGGGGGCACAGCAACATATGTGGTAATAACATATACATATCTATATATATCTACATCTAGATCTAGATATATGCATATACTGCCTGAGTAAGGGACAGGTCATGTATACTGTTAGGAATATAAGATTACACACTGTTGTCAAAATTGCTTTACTACTACTAAAAAATAAAAACTTCTGAAATATTACTAGTGCTGTATACATACCGTGAGTTTTACTCCTGTACACATGCATACATATATTGACATGTGAAGCATAGCACGCTAATTCTGCTAATATGTGATAAAGATAACCTTATGTAACACAGTAATTGTGTTAACTATGGAGCTGGTAATGAATAATAAACAACCAAATAAAAATTTGATATCTGTGAATCCTTTTTTGCTGTACTTGGGCTCTATACTGTAAAGTCATCAACATTTAAGTGAAGCCTTCTATCCATCCAAGATGTTGCTTGAGCCCAGAGCTTATCGCAAGGAGGAGTGACTGGACAGGGGGACCTTCTGGCAGACCGGTCATGGCTATCAAGGTGTGGTCTGTGGACCACCACTGGTGTATGTTGGTCCACACAGCCCTTCCTGGTGGTCTGCTCAGTTAAATATTTTAGGGAAAGCAACAGAGGCAGTAAGGTAGGAAAGAAAAAGGTATGTTTACAAAATACTGGGGAAAACTGTTATTTTACAAATTAGTTTGCATATCACACTATGCTTTTCAAAGCATAAATAATTCTACACTTGTGTCAGATTTGCTGATTGCAGCCTCTAAAACAAGACTGATAAAAAAACCCAAACCTTAAACATGTAAGTAGAAGCATATTAAACTAAATAACAAACAGCACACTTTTAAAGATGAAAAAGCCCCTAGTGCAAGAAACTTAAAAACTAAAAAATTCCAAAAGAATTTTAAAAATAGTTTCTAAAAAAAGGGGGTGATCTGGGGGAGCAGGCGTGCAGAGACAGTATAATTTCTTCTGTTCATCATTAATTTTACTGACCTCAGGATATGGTCCAAAGAATGAAAGAAGAACAGGAAGCAGGACCAGTCCATTGAGAACTCCCAGAATGGTTAAGATTGCCAAAACAGCAAAGAAATACCTGAAGTAGGATTTAAGGCATTTCAGGGAGAGAAGAGTCACAAGTACTGTTAGAAATATAGGATTACAAATTAGTCATAAATGTGCTAAAATAATACATTTATTAAATTAAATCTAAAATATTACTAACATTGTACTAAACAATTATATCATTTTCCATACATATAGGTATAGGGTTTTTTTTACCTTTTGAATAAGAGAAGCTACAATTCCACAACCCAAAGTGTTAGTTGATAAAAGAAAGGAAGAAAATGACATCTGTTAATTTCCCAGAATCTGGAAGCATGTAATGTTATTTATGAATGTGTTACACAAACACAAAAATATGGAATGTGCAATGAATAGCTGAATGGATTGGAAGCACAAACACAATGAAAAGGGGCCCCCATTAGTGAAAACCCAGCAGAAGCAAACAAATGAAGTGAAGGGTGTAGAATTTAAACAATTTAGCCTAGAAGGAAAAGAAACCCTCTTCTCCCAGCAGCTAATCCACTGTGAAATGCTTCTGCATCTTACAGCAGAATCTCTAATTAAATCTCCAGTGTATCAGGTAAGGGCTTCCCTTGCTGTTCACTAATCACAACTTTCTGCCTAGAATTCTGTGAGTTCCAGTTTTACCAAATAGCCTGGATTGCAACCTTTTTACAGCACAGGAACCCACTTTCTGCAAAGAAAATGCTGCCCATTCTATAGTAAGCTTCAGCATTGTACTGAGTAACAGCACTCCACAATGGCAGAGCTGCATTGCAGGCTAATCTTTTGTTGAACAATTTAGCATCTCTGAATACTCTTGTTTTGCGTCAGCCAATTCAAACATAAAGGCTGAAGTACTATGGAAGAAGAGGAAAGTGCACAAGTGGTTGTCCTTTCCCACCACTGAGGGCTAAGGTCTGGAATCCTTCATGAATACCAAGGTAAACCTGTCAGTAAAAGGAAAGCCTTGCTAGTTGGTATTCGACACAGCTGGGGCTCAGACTAAACTTAAGACTGGGTTGTAACTAATGATTTCAAGGACTCAGGCTTGGAAAATTCCTAGAGGAGAAGGCAAAGGAAAAGAACGGAGGGCAAGTTTGCTACTAATGGGTCTGCTGATTACATTGTCTAGCTGGCAACAAACTTTACTGCCTCCCTGTTCCCCCATCTGATCAAATATATCAGAGTCCTGTAAAACTACAAATATCCTGCTATTGTAAACATCTAGGAATTTCAGATCTGCATTAGGAAAAATCAGCAAGCCAATCTGCTCTACGAACATAAACCACCAGAGCTTTATACTGGGACAGAGATCAACAACAAGCATTAAAAACATTTGCATCTCATCCATCTAACACTAGGATAAACAGGAGGATTACAGCTCTGACCACTTGGTGTATACAATGTCTGTTAATTTACTTAATCTTCCACATTGTTGGACTAATCTATCGCTTTCCGGAAGTTTGGGATCTTCTTCACCCACTATAACAATGCTCAGACTCCCATAGTTTATTTTATTTTATTTTTTAAACAAGGTGACTTAAGTCAGATTGTGCTAGAAAATGAGAAACCGATGGCCAAAAAAAAGTAAAATAACATCAGTTGAAAAGTTGAAAAGCTCATTTTGTAAACTGAGAGAACATCCAATCCAAATTTGGTGTGAAGGGCTGCTACAATATTCCATTTGGTATGACACAAAAATATGCTTGCTGAAATCTCATCTGGTAAGTGGGAAAGTAGCACACCAAATGTATCCCTGTAAATTTAGGTTAAATCTGTAAGTAACCTATACATCAAAGTGTTCCAACCCCTACATGGTTAGGTCCTGAAAGAACAATTCTACTTTATTTCTTCATCATCAATAAAATAAAGTAAAAATTACTGGCTTGGGAAAAAACAGTATCTATTTCAGTACATGCAGTATCTATATAGTAATAATCCTCATGCAGGTTTTATGAGGTCTAACTGCAAACTGCCTGCTTTCTACAAACCTCTTACATACATAAACAAAAAATCTTGATGAGATTTAGCAGCCCTTCTGGCAGTTCCTGCCTCTGACATTTTGTTGTTCTTCTTGTCAAATGCATGTCAGCTAAGTCTAGTCATCTATCCAGCTTATGTCTACCTAAGCACTTAAGTCATCTTTCAGAACATTTTTATTTGGCCCAGTTCTACCTCAGTTCCATTTTAGGGCTTGGGGTTCTTTTTGGTGCTTTAGTTTGCCACAAAGAGCCTGTGTTACTTCTAAGATTAGCCATTTTGCAGAGCTCCACAGGTTGTTTGGAATAGAATAGGATCTGTTTCATTCCACTTCTCAAATTCCCTTCAACAAAAAACTTGCTTTCCTCTCATACTTGATGAATTCACAGTCTTAATTAAATTCACAAGAAACAGTCTGGTGCAGCTCTAAACAGAAGAGCCTTCAGGCTTTGCTTTACAAATTTTTAATGTTAAGTTCTGTGTTCATACTTATGGTTCCCCAGCTCCCAAACAGGGCTTTTTTTTCCTCTCCCTGTTATATATCACTGTAAACCTCACATAATGACAGCAGGAGAAGGCGCAGAGAGAGTCTCCAGCACGATTGTAGATTCACATGTCCTTTGCATACCAATTGCTGTGCATACAAGAAGTCTGGAGGACCCAGAGGTTGAAGGTCAAACCCAGCTAATACTGGACAATACTAGATGCTTTGAACTGACCCAAACCCAGAATTAGCAAACTTTGCTACAGAGTGCCATTTTTGTGTTCTTTCATGCTGGTTGTCAGATTTTCCTGGAACAGATTTTAATACGAGCAATGGAAACACTACTGCGTCTAGCATGTAACAAGGAGTTAATAAAACAGAGGGAAAGCAGGACCATGACGTACGCATGCTTGACACACCATGCATAGTAATAAAATGACATATATGCTAAAGTGACTAAAAATTAAAAGCATGCTGATTTTTATTTTAAAAAGAAAGTCAAGACACATAAATGCTTCACCTGACAATGAAATCAAACTCTGATCCTGCGAGCATTAACACTCCAAGCAGAGTGGACACAGCCCCATCCAGCACTGGTGCAAACATGTGTTCCAATGCAAGGACAGCCCTATGGTTCCTGTCTCCCATGGCAGTTAAAAATGCCTGTAAAACAATAAAATCTGTTTCATTATAGAGATACATACAACATAGCATGCATGTTTTTCACCAGTTAAGTACTTCAGACAATAGTTTATGAAAGTATCTCTATAGCTGGCTAACCTTCAATAGAAAGCCTGATTCTGCAGTCATACCACATAGCTGCTGCTGAAGTCACACAACCAAAGCACTGATTGCATAGTAATAATTTTGGAAACAATGCCTGCTTGCATCAGTAGACTTTTGTCTCCAGCTTTGCTTATTTTCACCTGCAAAGAATTCAATTTATGGTGAAAGCACTTCAGGTGTCAAAATTTCAGGGCTACTCCTGTCACTCATGTGGGGCCATGGCTTCCATGACTATCATGGGAAGTTTGCTGTAAAAACAGTCAGTCAATCTTGATGCAGGTTTTCCCATGCACTTGCCACAGACCAGGAACTGGTAGCTTCAGTTCAGGTACACAGTGACACCCACAGCAGCCTTATTTGTTTATTAGCACATCAGGTTCTATCTCTTTACACAGAAGTGTCCACTGGCACAGCACATTTCTTCTCACTGGTCCAAGGCTCCAGACCATCAGATGTTACACACAGTAAGCGCCCAACTGATGGAAAGTTGTCAGCATACTCAACAGGACTGGTACGAAGTAACACTAGATTGTGAGTCACCTTTCTTTTTTAAACACTTCTATTTCACTCAAAAATGTTTTTGCAACATGGTAGTGCCTAAGCAACAACATGACTAGTGAAATGTCTTCCTCCAGCTACTCAGTGAACAAGCTGTATCAAGAACACTCAAATACTGTTGTTTCCTATCAATTAATGGTTTAAGAAGACAAGAACCTGGTTGATCTTCTTCCTGTGATTTTTAAGGGCTCTCCAGTGAATTCTCTACTGCCTATTAAGATATAAGCTCAAGCAGCTATCTTCCTTTTGGTCCTGGAATGTAAGTCTCTCTTTTCTAGTGGCTTATTTGCACTTATCTGACAAATTTGGAGTGAAATCAGTCAACACATTAAAAAGTTATTTAGTGGGACAAGCAGACCAAAAATGGGTACACGTGGAGTGAGATTTCCGGCCCTCAATTCCATAGGTAGCAAATCTATGTACTATTAATCTTTAGTACTGGATTGAAAGTGGTCTGTGGAAACTTAAGAAGTTATTTGTAGACTTTTAAAAATGAGGACATAGTTCACAAGTGATAGCAGAGAACTGAGCCACAAGTGGATTGTGAATCACTCTTAAAACAAGTCAAATTAAGTTCTGTATCAAGAGTTCGAACATGGTCTTTTTGGTTTACGCAGCACTGGTTTGACTGTTTAAATGCAGGAAGCTCTCTGAAGGTGAGTACTGCTGCTATCATCTGAGGCCTTAATAGGCATTCTTTTATTTAAAGTCCACATTTGAAAGCTTTTGACTCCAGAGTCAAGATGAAAAAAAAAAAATCAAATTCAGTTTGCTTGACATTTTACCTTCAGGCACAAGTGACTATTACATTTTTCGGTATCTATATATAAAGTCCTATAAATTAATTAGTTTCTTCCCATTTAGAAATAAGTAAGTCTTTTGTCCTTTTTAATTCCAGTTTTCTTGTTTTAAATCATCAGTTCTAAGAAACAGTAATTTCTTTGTTCCTCCTGTACACCATTAGTTTCTGACACCAAACTACTGCAAGTTCTAGCACACAGGTTTACCTCCAAAAACCTAACTATCTGTTGCAGAAAAACAGATGTCACCACTTCAGGGAACCAGTTGCTCCTCTTTAAACTTATCCTACTTCCCCTGTGATTTTTCTTAAAATTATTCTCCCCATTCTGCCACTTTATATGCCTCAACTCTGTGCAAAATCTACATGTTCCCAGTATTTGGCCATCTCCAGCATTCTAAGATTCCCATTAGTTCTCCTCTCTTTTTCACTGTCACCAGATCCTCCTTTTGAGTACAAAAAGCCTGTTGCATTCCCATCCAATCTCACCAGCAGCTTCCAGCCCCCTCCCTTCACTTTTTTTTGCATTGCTACAGTACTACTATACTAGAGATTACAGTAGACTACAAGCACTCTCCCTTAAATTATGTTATATTGATCACTCAACCTGTCCTACTTTTTAATACAATAAAAATCAAATCCATGAAGACAATGATACTCTTTAACTATTTTGAAATATCAATTAGAAAACCTGAAAGGAAAATGACTGAGTGTGTAAAATGTTGGAAAGATCAGCGCTGACATTATCAAATGTGAACACAAAAATAGCTCGCTATTCTTTGTCACCAAATAAAGCAAGATGGGTTTTGCTTATCTTGAACACCCAAAACTGCCCCCTTGTAATTTCTACAGAATTTTGCACATCAGGTTGACTAAGCTGGGTGAGTAGGTACACTCTACATTTGGACACTTAACAATGAAAATCTTTATATAAAACATACATTTTTACCCTCCCTGCTCCTCCACATCACAGCAGAAAACTATCTTCCTACAGACTGCATGTTTGTGCCCACTACTAATAGCTGATGGGTTCTGAAAAGAAGGTGCAGATTTTTTACGTGGAAAATTAATCCAAACACATTCAAATTTTAGTGGTCCAGAGAGATAAATGACACTAGATGCGATTTTAAAAACCTCCTTTAAAGGCTTCTCTTTCACAGGACACAGAATCTACATGCAAGAAGGAACGAACAGCTGTACAGCACTGAGGCAACAACAGTGAGGCTGCAGGCAAGGACGACCAGGAGAGTCTGGACTGAAGTAAGGTGCATTCAGAGCTCTGCTTTATCTATGTATTTGTATCACTCAAACAACTAGATACCACCAATAACGTATCCCCTCTCATCTCCTGGGAGACTGACAATAGTTAGGAACTACTTCATCCAGGCGAACTCTGCTCCATCAAGACAAACTAAATGGCACACAAAACAGACCAATTTCCTTTGGAGAATAATGTCATTGACTTACGAGACTAAATAAGGATTTGTGATCCTAACATTGCCATTTTATTTTAAAATATTTTGAAAACGCTTCCGGATTTTACGTACCAAAGCAACGTGAACAGTGAATTCCACACCAATGCCAACAGAAGCAATCAGGATCACCACAGGCACTGCACTCAGCTTTATTCCAATTAGACCCATCATGCCAAACAGCTCCACAGTCATCAGAGCCAGCACCACCACCTAGATGATTTCAAACAGCTGTCAGTAACTTCTTATACTCCAGACAAATGAAGAGAAAGATGTCAAAACAACATGGTGAGTACAAAATGTACTCCTCAAAGCCATCCTGTATTCCCAAAGACAAGCTGATATTCCTTGTTTTGCTGTGCTCAATGGCAATAACTTGCTAGAGTCAGTTTAAATTAACAGATCAAGCATCAAATTGGCATTAGTTATAATTTATCAGTGATCTGAAAAACAATTTATTCTTCCTTATCATGGATACTCCTCAAAACATAACTTTTCTTTTTCACCTGTTTCTCAGACAATCCTTCCAGAAAAAGTAACTTTCAACTACCTGTATTGAAATTCTTTTTGCAAAACTGCAAATATAAGCGTGGATGACTTCTGAGTAGATTTAAAGCCCAGAAGAAAGGTAATGCTGTAATCAGCTGATAAATCTCAGGTTACAGAAGGGCTCTGAGCTTTTAAGATATTTGGAGACACTGACATGGACAAAGTGAAAAGTTAAATCTAACAAAAAGCTTTTATTTTTCTCTCATCTACTTTGTTAAAAAAATGAGGAAAAGGGAGACGAGGAATTCTGTAGAATTAACTTTAAAAGTTGCTAAATCCTAGCAAGAAAAAAAAAGACAGACATAAAAGCAATGGTGGACTCTGAAAATAAACAACTTTTCCAAAGGAAAAAAGTATGCACTTCAATAAATTATTTTATAAGCTAATGAATCAAGAGTAATAACATAAATTACTTGATTAAGTGCTATGAAAAATATTCTAGACTAAACATTTACCTTTTAACATACCTGTCCTATAAACGTACATTAAAAAAACCTAGTAACTGTTTTACGCTTTTCTACTTCTGGCATTTTATAAACCATACGATAGTTTATGGAATTTAAACATAGGAACATCATCATTCAATTCAACTTGAATGATTACTGAGAGGCTTATGGTGTCCTGCAGAAAGCATGGAGGAGTATTCCCTAGAGTTTATAATTTTGTGTCTCTTTCTCCTCAATGGCTCAGTTACCCTCTTTCCAGAGTGTGCACTATACAACCTAACCATTTCAGTTTTTCCAGAAAGACTGCATTCAGAAACCAGCGGGAAAATTTACGGGCAAGTTAGTCACAAGCAACTGCCTTGAAAATTAACTATGTCTGATAAAAGGGGAGAAGGAATAAATAATTAATAATAATTTTAATATTTAACAAAGTTCTTAATTTTCCTCTGTGTCTTTATTTCTAATGTTAGCATGCATCTGTACAAGGGCAAAAGTTTATGTACCTTTCTAAAAAACCTTTAAAGCTGCAAAAAAGGTGGCCAAAGGATTAAGGTTATTAAGGTTTGTACCTTTAGCATGAACCTTACCCCTTCAAGTTGAATAAATATATAATGAATGATGCAATATACATACTCCACCAGAGGCCCAGACATAAACAAAACCTTTCCGACTACAGCAAGAGCTATGCTGAAAGGAATTTGACTTCAACAAAGAACCTTATAATAAACTTACAATGATTCCAGCCGTCCAGGGGTTTAGGAGGAAGAGGGCACACACCAGAAACGTGCAAGCCAAAACCACACTAATGGATAAGAGAAGCCAGTGACGAAGCCCAATATACTGCTCCCAAAACAGAAATGGGTAGCCATTTGGGTAGCTGGCGATGCCCAGGCTGGTGTAGTTACTACATATAGCTCTCACTTTCTCGATAGCCTCCACAAAGTCAGAAGTTTCACGCAATCCGTTGAGGTAGAAAGGAAATTGAGCGTATTCTATAGGCTCAGCTGCTGGAACTAGGAAGAAGATAGCACTGTTAAAATGTGTCTGGAAAGCAGAAGATACACAGAGGGCACGATTAACAAAACACTTTGTGCTTTGAATCCCAGTGAATGGGATTTCTCCCCTGCCAAAGAAGTTCTTGTATCATATCAGTGTTGGTAGCTTAGCATATGAGCTAACTTGATAAAATTCCCTTAGGTATTAAGAACTGAGGATAAACATGATGTAATCTCAGTGATGAAATTTCAGAATGACATAAGCAGGAATTTCATACAATCTCTAAGTTTCTCTCACAGACAGAACTATCAGGTGATACTAAAAAGCAATGCTTACCATAAGTTTTTGGAGCTTTAAAACAGTTATAAAACTCATTTTTCAACATGATAAAACCCTGCAGTGGTGCCACATCTGCAATGGTGCATGGGTCTCCTAAGACTACAGAGTAACACAATATATTGTCCTGTTTACACTTCTGAGCCCTGTGCAGCATCATCCAACTACAGAGTTGCTGGTTCTTGAAAGGAGGATTGGGGACGCTTATATAAACTGTAAGACATGAAGATGTAATGCTACTTACTTCTCAGCCTTGTTTCTGGCATGTAGTCTGCTTTGTCATGGACCCACTCTGGGCGGTGAGGCCGGATGTTGGCTTGCGAGGCAGCATAGGCCACCGGGTCATTGCTGACCCAGGCTGTCAGGTAGATGTAGAACGCATTTGGGTTAATGATTCCATCTGCATCCACCAGACGCTGTTTGGTCAACTGAAGAATGGAAAAAATTAGAAGCCTTTCAGAATGAGTTTTGGTCTCTGGGCTTTTGCTGTAAAGCTTTCAACAAATGGCCTCAAGATGCAACATGCATACAGGAGGGGAAAAGCAAGAGTCTGAATCTTCACTTGAAGTGACTTATCACAGTAAACTATTGTTTGACAACAACAAAAAAATCTAAAAATCTACAGTGACGGTAGAAAGTGGTTATTTATAAATTAGTACCCATATAATATTTACAATAAACACTAAATCAGCAGATGGTTCCAGAATAGACTGAACCAATTAAATCGGAATTCTGAAAGCCTACAGCCAAGAGTGAAAAACAACGAAGTTGGAGAAACATATTTAAAGAAAGGGAAAGAAAACCTGGCAAGAGTCCCTATACACGTCTGTGTGCAGTTAACCTCTGTTGTTAACACTGAAGGAAATGCCACCCAGTAAATGGAGGAGAGCTATAAAAATAAAACATCTGTATAAATTTTGCTAACACTTGCCTCCTATGACCTATCCATTCAGAAAATGCCCAGCGTCAAGAAAGCAGATGAGTACCCTCTGTTATTTGGGTCACTGTGGGCAAATGCATCTGTGGGGTAAACAGCAGTGGTACCCTTCTAGGGTTCTGCATCCAAATCCTGCACAGCTAGAGCTCTGACAGAGGACTCCATGGGTGAAAAGTATTACTGGGGTTTTTCGTTCTGTTTATTTAAAATTCTGGCTCAGCTCCAGTTTCAGGTCTTTTTAATGAAATGAAAAACAACAGTGACAGCAGTTAAAAGAAAAAAAAAAGCTGGATTCCAAGAATCTGGATTCAATTAGTCCACAGGATATGCAACAACTGTATGTCTTCAAGCTGTCTCTGGAACTGCACAGTACAGCGCTCAGCCCCTGTGGGTGCACCACACTTTTCTCCCTCCCAGGCACAGGAAATTATATCAGCAGCTGCAGTCCAATCGCATTTGTTCCACAGTGTACCTGGTACACTGTTAAACAAAATCTCACTGAAGGTTTTCTCCTCAACTCCCTTTTGTTGCTTAATTCATAGCTGAAGCTTCATTCAGACCTGTCAGCATGCTGCATGTTGCTATACAGCAGTGTGTTTTACACACCATAGTAACTTCGAACAATGTACTCTGTAAATCTGTCACCTTTAATGCCAAGAAAAAAAGGAAAATAAGCAGATCTGCCAAGAAGCTCATTAGAAAGACTATTTTTCTGCCTGCAAGCAGCACAGCAAGTCAATGGTGACTCTAAGAGAGGAGAAGTTAGGTTATTGCAAAATTTCTTCTCAGAGGTTTGAAATCTAATTTTAGTGTAAGGAGTCAAACCTACTGTGTTTCCACCTACCAGTGGCTACAGCCAATGCAGTTGTATGCTGTGATAAGCTTGCAAAAGAACCTCAGACATATTTTATTTAGGCAGCTCAAACAACTGCCTTTCTTAGTTCTACAACAGCATAGCTGTATTTAGTGATGATAGTTCAAGGGGATTTCAGTCCCATTCTACTATCATTCATAAGCATCTTTTTTAAATGTTAACTTTTGCATAAATCAGTTGGAACTAACCAAATAATTGCAAATGCCAGATTCAAAGCCACAGCAGCAAGCTGAGCAAAGGTCAACCCTATAAGGCAATCTGATTCAAATCAGAAACAATGCCACTTGGGGCAACAAGGCCAGCCTTGGCTCTGTCTGGCATAGGAGCAAACTCCATCTACCCATGGATGCAGCAAAGCATTTTTCACAAGAATTTCAGTGGAAACTAAGTGTGTCTGACACACAAGCAGCACCAAGCACACGCCAACCAGTAATAATCAAGGGCAGGCATTCCCAGTGCTGATTCTGAACACTTCACCATGCAGGCCAGACTGCAGCTAACAAGTTACTTGCACAAAATCAGTGAGGCCATGCAGTAAAGTGCAACTCAGGCATTCAATTTGTCAAGATGAAAAAAACCCAACAAACTGACATGTTCTTTGCATCTCTCCCCACTCCTGATGACTTGTATATTCCTGTATAAACCACCATGGACTCCGATACAGTACCTGGCTGATGTCAATGGGCTTTGCTCGGTTGCCTGTTTGTACCAAGAGTTTGTAAGCCAAAACAGCATCATCAGATCCATTTTTATAGTTGTTGTAAGTGATCTTCCCCATTTCCCAGTCACTGTCGAATGCATCCTGAAGTCCTGAAGAGTTAAGGAAGACAGAACAAGCACGTAAGCAGTCTCTCTTAGAAACAAATTTCAGTAGGAAAAAAGAATAATGGCTTTTCTTCTTAGCTGTATCAGGGTGAAAATTATCCACCTGCTGCCTCCTACATTTTGGGCTCCTTATTCACTGTCAGTGTGCAGGAATATAAAAGTACCAGCTGCATGTCCAGAATTTTGCCCAAATAAAGGCAGAGAAAGCAAGGAGGTGCAAGGCGGAAGCCTCTAGAGTCTTCCCACGTTGTGCAGACCAGCAAAGCTGCACTAGCAGGCAGCAGATGCAGTGTGCATTGATGTAGACCAGCCTCCCCTCAACGCAAAGAGATCTTGGATGGGATTAGGTCACTCTGGTCCTGCATCCTTCTTAGAGCCTTTGAGAGCAACCTAGGCTCTGCTAGGAGCAGTACACAGGGAAGAGTTAACATAATGTAGGAAAAAAGTGGTTTTCCGTATGAACCACAATTGCAGAATCATCACACTCAAAAACTCCAAAGCATATTTGCATTTATCATTTCTTTCATGCATCCCCTCCCCAAAACAAAGCTGAAGTCTTGCCCTGACCTGGATGGCACCTGAGAAGAAAGGGGCTGAGTTCAGCCCTGATCCAACTTCACTGCCTACCGTGGAGTTATATCCAGAGGCGGCATTTAGTCTGTTATCTAGAAGGGAAATACTCTCCACACTCCCCTCTGCTTCACTGAAACCCTGGTCAAGTGCACCGAGCCACAGTGGAGTACACACGCCGCTCTCATTAACTGTTTTGGGCCACTGCAGAGCACTGAGGCAATAGTTTCTACGATATAACCAGAAATTCCACTACAAGGGGAAAAAAACCACACTCAAACTTTCAACTTCAAAAAGCAACTCAGCTGCTCCTCGAGCACAGCATGAGCGAACACGATTTTGTCAATTTGTTCCATCTGTTCAACTTGTGCAGCTAATACAAGTCGTGGGATCTGCTGCCAGCACATGTAAAGATCACAGCCAACACCTATTCACTCTCAACTGTTATTTTCCTCTCTGCCACCATTCAAGGGGAAGTGAATACCTCACGCACAAATTTGGATCAGATTTAGTACAGGAAGCCACAGCCCAGTACAAGAAGGCTCTGTGCAAGTAGATGACAAACCACATATCCAGGGAAGGGAAGGAAAAGGCTGCGGGAGTGGCCATATAGGAAATTGCTGACCCACCTTGCAGCTGTGCTGAGGAGCCCTAATGAAAACCGTCAGTACAGATCAGTAGGTTAACTACAGCTGTATGGAGATAAGAGTGCTGGGAGAGAAAATGCACCTGGCTCACACCACCTCCAGGCTGCAGTATCTGCTCCCATTTACAAACTCATCCTCCCTCTCCTAGAAAACTGCCCCCCGTGTTCTCCTGCCAAATTGTACCTGCTCTTGAAGCCAACAGGCTGGGAACCAAGCAATGAAGGAAACCTGCCAGACCTCCACAGGCAGCCCTCCAGCACCTGCCCAGGAGGAGGACAATTTGCCACCAGGTTTTCTGGCATCACCAAAGGACTTCAAAGCCCCCTTTAAAAAAATCACTGTTTGCTGGTGCCCTCCTTCCCTCCTGTGCCAAGTTTAGCTCCATGTCAGTCTCTTAGAAAGTGGCCATGTGAGAGCATCAAGAAAACACTATCAGTTGTGTTTAATTTCTAAAGAATTTAAAATTTACAATAACTGAAACTTCCCATAGCACTTTGTAATTAATAGCAGAGTTGCTGCTTTCTAAGCAAGCAGCACTTTTGTTATAAACTGTTCATACAGATTCTAATTACATCTTTATAAAAAAATTCACTTACAAAATAATGCAAACATGTCCAGTTTAAATGAATGGTTAGCGTTAACTCTTCTGTTGCATTTTCAGTGACAGAAAATATGCTAACATGGTATGATACCAAAAAGCAAAATAAAAGGGAACCTCTGAAAAAAGAAGTGCATTAGGCTGAAGGCACTCCACTGCTAGCAAACAAGGAGAAATGTACAGCTAAGCCCATGGATGCCTTCTTGATAAAAAAATGCTACTGTTCACATGCTATTGCTTCCCTCATTCTGCCAGACAAATGTGCGTAAGTCAGAAGGCCATCTTGAGCCATTAATCTCTGGCATTGAATTCCCAGTCAAGTCGGCAGGAATTAGCCATGAAGTTCAAAGTCATCCCTAATTTCATTATCCTTCTCCTCCAGCATGTAAAAATGCACTAGCAGAACTAGATCCCACCTTACAGAGGATCTTCCCTGAATCCAGCGTAAAGCTGTACCCTGTTTGTAAATTCTCTTTTCATCTTCCTGATCATCCTCCCTTTACTCTCCCAGCATAAGCCCCAGTTGGTGACCATCAGGTACTATTCTGCCTCTGAGTGTCTGCACCTTGAGATAATTCCCTATGACAAGTGTGGCAGCTTCTAATATAACACTTTAGTTCTCCCCATTTCATCAGTGCCCTCTTACCATTTAAAAAAAAGAGTTTCTATTGATACATCTCAATACCCTTCTCTTTAAAGCTTTGTGAACACAGTGTCACAGCCTGCAAAGGCAGCCTTGCATCTTTACAAAGCAGCTGGTTTGTATTAGTTGTGCCCTTCTTGGGGGAGGCAGAGAGGAGGACACAGGCCTAAACACTAATGAGTAATCATGATAATTAATTCTAAAGCTATGGGTGATCAATGGGCCAAGCAATGCACCTTCCATCACAGGGCTGCCACGTCTACTTGAACCACCGGAAGTCTCTGACCATTCTAGCATAACATTTCAGCTGCATGCACCCCCATCCAGGGTGCCACAAATACTTACAGCTCCTCTAGTCAAAGAAAAACAGAGGAAAAAGAGGAAGGACAGGCAGGCTAATGTGGGCTGGAAGGGGAAATGTAACTATGTGCAGTAAGAAGAAAATAGGAACACCCCTAAGGGAAGAGCAGATCTGGAAGGGTCACATATGAGCAAGAACACACACGACAGAGAAGGAGATGCCCAAGCACTGGGCTAGGGCCACACAAAGTCCTCAGCACAAAGAGGTGATTACAAAGAGAACAAGGAGGCATCCTGAGTGGCACAGGTTTGGGACCGCTGGGCTAGCCTCCAGCATTTCACTCTGAGAAGCCAGCAAAGGAGCAGATCCAAGGGCACCTCATCCTGACTTTATTGCTGGCAGACCATGCTGAGGTTCAGCACTAACATGCAAAGATCCTGAATACAGTCTCAGATTTCTGTCTCCCTCCCTTGAGGGCATGAGGGAAGGTGGAACTGGGGACACCAGACACATTTTTTCCTACTGTTTTGGAACAACAACAAAAAATACCCACAAAAGAAATAAAATAAACAGCAGAGTTACAAGAGAATTTGGAAAAGCATGTAGAAAGATGCTTGCTTAGAAATCTAGAAAGTATGGTAAGGTTCCAATCCAGCAAAACATCTAACCTATGTTGATTTTTCTTCCTGCCAGTAATACCTTCCTTTACAGCTCAATAGACTTAGTCAGCAAAATATTTTAAGTAAAACTTCCAGTAAGCAGGCTGTAATGAATGGATCCAATATATTTAAAAAACATTAAGAAAACAAAGCTAATAGCAGAAATACTGCTGTGCATGATTTATCAGTGCGTTAAACACACAGGAAACTTGATCATTTTGTTTAGATGCATCACTTAGATGCATCTGCTTTCCTAATACTGCCCAACATATTTTCAGAACAAATAAAATACTCCAAATACTAGCAGTTACCTACCTGTTTTCTAAGAACCACTGGCTGCACTGGTTGTCTGTAAACAGTTAAGGTTAAAATTTACAGTCTCACTAGGTCAGCACAATTTGGTTTTCTGTTGGCAAAAGCTTCCTTGAGATTCTCCCAGCAGAAAGACAGAGGTAGGACAGAAATACTCCTGGGCAGAATACATTTGCTCACAGCAGAAAGCTATTAAATTTGCTGAGATGTAACAGTACTATTTATTTTAAATACTAAACAGTTATTTGTCTCAACATGTGTAATTATAATATCTTTAATATCTTTAACAAGCTGACTTCAATATAATTATCATCACAGCACCCAAAAGGCCATGCTTTCTCTTGCCTTACCCCACTCTGATACAATTCAGCACAGTGCAGCACCATAGAAAGAGTGAGGATACTTGACTGGAAATCTAAAATGGATAGTAAGTTCCCAACACAAAAAACCAAATAAGCCACACTGATTTTTTTCATGCCAGAAGTCCCAGCTGAAGCCAACAGGATCACTCATGTGGTGAAAGTTAAGCCTGTGCCAAAGTACATTGCCGGATGGGGACTTTTCCTTTACTGTTCTCAAAACACTCACCAAACATTTATTTTCCAAAGACAGTGGGCCATATTTGGCCATTAATTATAAAGCAGAACTTCCCATTAGCTGCTTAGAAATTAATGGCATGAGATGGCTATAATCTCTTCAAGCTTCAAAACTGTCTTATGGGGGACTAAATGTAGCCATGAAGAATTTAAGTGGTCTGTTGGACAAACAGCGAGTCAATGAGTGAACCTAGGCATTCTCCCTCCTGCTTGCAGCCTTTAAACATGTCACTGTACTTGAAGAGAGGAACATTACTAGTGTGAGCAAGTGGTTACTACTCTAGAATTAAGAAAAGCTCATGTAGCTGTCTCTTACCTTGCAGCCAGTCTCGAAAGTAGTGCAACCACATTTTGGGAAGCTGCCTATTTTCTTCCAACAGAACATATGTCACATTGCTGAAACTTCTGTGAAGTTCATAAAGTAACTGCTGGACATTTGGATAGTCTGCTTTCTGTGTCACAATATACATGTTGTAGAATGAAAAATACTTGAACTGTGCAGCAATAAAGTCATATTCCCGTGTTTCCCGTGGTACAATGTCTGTGAGATCTAGTCCATCTCTCACCCGGGTAGTTCCATAAAGGCTGAGTCCAAGTAAACCCAGAAAAAGAAAAATAACCACAATCTGCAACAGAAAATGGACATGCATTTGCTTTTACATTTCTAAAGGAAGTAACAATTCATAATGGCATACTACAAAGCCAGGTTCAAAATTAACACCCATCAGTCTACTTCAAAGATATTATCCCTTCCCTTTCTTTTTTTTCCACACACATACACATTAGCTACTCTTTAGCTAAGCTAACCTGTGCTTTAATGAAGGGGTTCTGCATCATGGATGAGAAATCTGTACCATAATGAAGTTTAAAAAAAAGCTTATGTTACTGAAAGTCACCAAAACCCTCCCTCACTTTTAACTTGTATTTGAAAAGTATGTCTCTACAGCACTCATAAGATAAAACTTTTAAAGTATGAAATTACCTGTAAAATTATTAAGAATTGCCATTCCAAAAGAATTCCATTTATTCCTTATATTTAATAATACTCCCAGGAACATTTAATACCTGGGCAAGGCAGAAGTCATTTTTTGAAAAGTGGGTAAATAGTTCCCTGATTACCTTAGCTTTTGGTTTTAGGAGGAACGGAGCATAATGCTTTTCTGCAAAAGATGAGAGTGTCCACTTTGTACAGGGGGGCTCAAGGCAATGCACACTGGAGTCTGAGAATTGGGAAAGCAAATCCCTCGTCGAGCTTGTGCTTTCTGGGCTCTGGCAGCTAAGATTATCTTGCATCACTGTCACTGGCTGCACAGATATTTCTGAGCAAGGCTCTGCTGTGGTGTAGTACACCTGCGTATGAGGATCATATTCTGTGCGCAACTGCACTGTAGACTGCATCGTAATCTGAGTTTCATGTGCAAAGCTGTGACTGCTGTACGGGGGTGGAGGACTGTAGCAAGTATTGTCATTTTCCGCATATGCTTGAGGCTCAATCTGAATCACTCTAGTGACACACGGACTGCAGGAGAACAGAAAAACATCTGTTTGTATATACGTGAATCTTCATTTTAATCAGACTAGATAGGACAACCTGCTTCCATCTGAGACTCCTACTACTATTAGATGGTTTATATTAATCAAATGTAACACTTTGACATGAATTTATTCTGCACCTTTAGGAAAGAGTTTTCAGATATACTTCAAAGTTAGGCATCTAAGAGAATGTGCACATTTCCTGTGCTCAGAAAAGAAGGACCCAGCATCTGCCTGATGACGCTGACATCTTCCCACACCATTCCATTAATCACACGTGCTAATCAGTTCAGTACCGAGGTAGGTGCACACAGTTGGAATGCACAATATATGTGTGGGTTTGCATCTACATGCCCATGCTGAGAATTATGCTATTTAGAACAAAATGTAAACACATGACAGGCTGAGTTCTTCTGTTTAGAACTATTAAAGTAACTGTCAAATAATATTTGGGCCTTCTGGATAAGATCTCAGACTTTCAGGAGGCAGGTTGAAACCACTTGCCATACACTGACTAAATATTTTAAAAATTAAGTAAACATTCACAAGGATCAATTTCCAGTCAGGACTGAAAAGACAAAATTAGAAGCAATTGAAGCATTCCCTTTATTTTAGGGAAACAGATAATTTTTTTTATATATATGAACTAGTTATCAGAGACAAACCTCTTCCTGTAAATGAGAAATAAAAAATTTATGATAGAAAACAGTATCAGAGATTTTTTTACCAAGTGGACAAATCCCAAAAAACCAAGAGAAATTCAGAATGTTGCCTACCTAAACAAAGCAAGCTCTCATTAACTGTGTTTCTTCATATGTAAATGGGCCCAAATCCTGATACACATTTGGTGCAACTTTAGATGATGGAATAAATGGAAGGTCTGATTGACCTGTATTTCTGAGAATCAGGGCTCCAAAATTCAAGCACATTAGGCCAGACACTGAACCTATGACTTTATCAGAAATAGAAAGTAGGAGTCCTGACTTGTGATCAACTCCCTGTTCTAACCACTCCAGAAAAAAAAAAAATTAGGAAAGTGCTTTATCTTTTTGACATTAATATTAAAATGTCAAACTACATCAGCTCCTAGGTGGGTATAAAAGTCTAAGATGACTCACAGTGAACTCTCCACATGCTGGTTATGACAGTAAGAGTACATGTGCAGAAACGTAGCTGATCCTCTTCATTGCAGGCAAAAGCTAAAACTAAGGTAGAAAGCATGCTTAATTTCTAAGCAGTGGCTCCACTAATGACAGTAGACTCCTCCCAGCCCCATTCTATGCTCAGAACTGGCGAGAGAGAGGGAGGTGTGGAGAGAGACTAGCAGACAGACAAATATATTTTAACTCAGTCAGGTAAAATCCAAAGTAGCAAATGTAAGTTAGTCACTAGCAAAGAAATCATAGCAGTAACATAATGACCTCGCTGCAACGAAGAACTCTCACTCCTGACAAGGAATGGCAGCACTGCCTAGCTGCCACAAAAAGGATGCACCTCATACATCTACCCATGACACATTCTTACCTTGTAAAACAGCAGAATATGTCCAGTCTCCTGTCTTCCCGACGATAAAGGTCCATGCTCAGAATAGCAGGAAAAATCAGCAGAACCATAGCAAAGTTGAATACCACCACAACTGCTGCCTAGCAATGAACCACAGGAGAAGTGATGTCATTACTAAGTTTCATACAGGGCATCAGCTTTACAAAGCATAAAACTTCGTTCCAATTCTCATCCAAACACCCATTTATCATGTCAACCTGTCAGATGCTTTCAAGCTTTTCCCTGAGGAAACTGGGACTTTTGCATTCTCATTTCATTATGGTAGACATATTGTAGTGAATTAATTTATTTTAACAATAAACTTCATGTTATTTTAATACACCTGTACCTGGAGATGTGGTGGTGATTTTTTAAGTGGAAAAACAGAGTCAACAAACTATACTTTTACATGGCATTCTGCCATACTTAGAGTCTTACACCAAAAGACTTTTCTCTCACCACAAAGAGAAAGCCTGGCACAGATGGGACTGGAAGATGGTTATAAGAGTAGGGCAGACATGGGAAAAAAGTGGCTGAGCCATCAACATGTGAAAAAACTCCTTTAAATCCTTACATTTCACCCATTAGATAAGCAGCAGCCATGTCAATAGTAGCCCTGTTTCATGTTAAGGAAATCATACAAACTATCAAGTGCCTCCACCTGTAACTTCTGAAGTAATGACCACTTGTGCCAAAACAGTCATAAAAAAAGAACAGAAGTCCTTTTCCAAAATAAACAAATGGCCGCTTTTGATGTTGAAAAATCAGGCCTCAAAACTGGCAGCTCAAAAGCTGTGAAATCCAAAATCCAAGTTTTAAAAATTCTTGACTTATGTGTCAAATAAATAATATAAATTGCCTAAATAATGTCATTTTAATTTTTGTGTCTCCTAATCTGTGAAAATCAAAGTATTAACACATTGAATGATTTTGAGAGTTTTGAAGCTATCAAAGCGTAATTAAAAGACTATATATTGGTTTTAGTTTCCTGAGGATGACACAATCAACTAGTTATGAAAACATTTTCTAGTAATTTTAATCATAAAAATATTGTATACAAATACATTTTCAATGGTGTTTCTCTTTCGTTATCTCCAGCCTGCTCAAAGTAAGATTTTGGTCCTGCTGGTTGCCTATAGACATAACTACTAAAACAGAATTTACCTAGTACTTAAAAGCCAAATCAGTATTTAGCTATCTTTGAGAGAAAAGATCCAATGACTATTTCATGATTTACAAATATCCACATGGAAAGGTATGTAAGGTCATAGCCAAGACTTTAAAATTAAGTTATTTCCTTCTGATCCTCTCTAGAATTAGCTGAATCTGTCAGAAAAAACCAAACCAAACCAAACCAGGCTGCTGTTGCAAGCAAGGTGTTTGTTGGGCCTAGTTCATACAACTGGTTTTTTTACTGCTTCTAAATCAGAGAAGGCTGAATCACCCAGAAAACATGAATAATTAGTTGTGTCTAACCAAGGTCTGCTATCTAGGATCAGCTAATATTTGTTGAGATTTAGAAAAAAACAGCTGAGGCCTGACTCAATAATTCTTACTCTTCTCAGCATGGCTGAAAAACTAACAGAAGTCTCTGTTCCTCCTCCATAAACTTGCAAGTACGTCATTATCAGTTCCCTTTGTAGACTCCAACATCCTTGAATCTTGCCATTAAACCTGAAAACTAAGCTAACATATATGGTAGAGATGCCATTAAAGTTAGCTATATTCACATTTAATTTTTTAAAAAGCATCAAAACTAATTCAACAACACATAGTAAATCTATTAACATGGCACCTCTTTTCAGAGCAACCAGATTTTCAAATGTGATATTCATTCAATTCACATTCCAGTGTTGATGTACTAACCCTGCAAGTAGAATATTTCTAACCAATCCTCTCTGTTCTGATTTTTACTTAGATTCCTAGAGCTTAACACCATGCTGCCTATATATTGCATACTGTCTCTCCCTCATCCAACTCCCCAGTATTTCAAGGAGGTAAGAGTTCTCAGCTTTCACAATTAAATGCTTGCATCAATTCTAATTTGTTGTCCCATCAAAAGACACCCTGTGACTTAGTGAGGGAAGGAAAAACTGTTGAGGGGTGACTCAACCTCTGACCTGATGTATAAGCCACCACCTCCCCTCCCGGTACCATTTAAACCACCAATGGGTGGGAACAGGAACGTATGAGAAAGGCGATCATGGCGATACACACGTTCTGTAGCACTTTTGTTGACTGGAAAAGCACCAACAAAAAACTGTGGCAGCAGAGCTTCCAGAGTACAGGCAATCTGTTAGCAGCACCCAAGCTTAGACCAGGCTTAGGATTTTCAGGGACAAGGCATCTTCTCCCACCCCTTCAGAGACGAATGGTCAAGTGGAAGAGGAAAGGGCCTCAGGCCTTTTCCTTGAGAAACCAACAAAGGTAAGATTAGCCCCAGAAAGGATAAAATGGGGCCTTCTCAAGGGCGTTCAGTGAAATGAGATCTGACAGTACTTTAAAAAAATTCTGTTAATCTGAAGAAAAGTTGGTCACTGAGAAACAGGCTCTGCTTTTTGCATCTTTCTATAATGCACAGCCTAAACATACGACTGCTGCTGCGACTGTTAAGGGAGACAGTAGAACAGCAGTCTGTGCTGGAGGCAGCAAGGGAGCTGCAAGCCAGGCTGGTAGGCTGGGGCCCCGCTGAAGGTATGTGCTGTTCTGTGCCATTCCTGGCAGCCCACCCAGGGAGCACGGGTGTGCTGTATAGCCAGAGGTGATGAACAGATGAGGAGGTCTGTCGGGGAAAGTTCCACCCTACCGTTGTCTATCTGCAACTCCCTCCTGACAGTGTACAGACTCTTATGCCCCCTTGCTCCGCCTTTTCCCTTAGGCTTTAATTTTGCCTAAGGGAGACAAATCACTTCAGCAGAGCAAGAAACTGAATAAGCTTTAAAACTTATGTTCTTTCCCTCCATAAACCCACTACTACCTGGAAGTGCACTTTTACATTTAGGAAAAAAAAAAGTCATTCTTATGGTGAAAAAAGTTACTGCTAAGACTTACTGGGAAAAGTTACACCCCCTTATTAGTGAATCCACATCACTCCTCTGCTGTTAGGGGAGGAAGTTTCTGGTGTAAGCAAGAAGAGGTTGATGAATTTTTGTGAAGCTGTATCTTCCCTTTCCTGGGCAGAATTAATTCCATAAAAGAAATCAGCCCAGCAGAAGCTACACTCTGCCTTACCTTCCTTCATTGACACTCAAACCAAGGGGCTATGTTTAAGAAATTCCTACTGCAAACTTCAAAGCCTTTCAGTGGATTTTTCTAACAACCTCCTCCTCTGCCATGATTTTAAGAAATGAAACACAGCTGAAACCTCAGACCTACTCCTTCAAAGTCCTGAGCACTCTTGCAACTGAGTATTTGGGACATGCTCAGCATTTCAGAGCCCTAAAACTGCTTAAATAATGGGCTAATAAGATCAACAAATGAAAAAAAGTAAGTTCTGAAAAAGCTAAAACAGTGCCTATCTGCATAATGGAATTAACTTTTAAAATCTCACTTCCAAAAGGACTGATTTCCATTTCTTAAAACTCAGCAAAAGCTAACCCTAGCAAACTCCTAAGACAGCATGAGACTTGCAGTGTTTGAGTTTCATAAAGTAAATGAACAACTCAAAGGCATCAATAATTGCTTTAGTTGGCAGAACCAAAGCTGAGAAAGAAGCAAGCATTTATATGCAAAACACGAGTTTCTAACTAAAAGTTGGGCTTGCAGATGCAGGAAACTAATTGTTCTCCATTAGCAGCTGGATTATTTTACAGATACTGGGCCTCAAAAGTTATGGAAACTTTGACAATTATCTTGCAATGTCTTAAGAAAAGTGAAAGAAGAGCAAAACAAGGTCAAGAGCAATCCTTTTTTCTAAGCCCATCTGTTAAAAAAATCACTATCTAGAGGAGAGGGCAGCAGCATCTGTGAAAAGTAAGTGCAGTATTTCACTGCTTTCTGAGTCTTGCTAGGAAGCTATCAAATATGGCAAGAACTTGTTTAAACAAGCCTGGATAAGAGGGAGAGGGAGGAAAAAGACTGTAAATACAGAAATCCATATATAAATACAGACCACCCACCAAAATCTGCCATGGTTATCTAATTCTGAATGCTGTCATTAATGTGTCACCTGATTTTGATTTCACCTAGTAAAGCTAGGCAAAGCAAGTAATAGATGTTCCTTTATAACAATAAAGGGTGTTATTTTAGTGGTTCCTAACTTAAATACAAAACAGTTATATCTATTGCTGTAGTGACAATAAATCTTCATTACAGGTCTCCAGCTGCCCTTCTTTTGCACATTTTTCCATCTCTCATAAACATATAAGGGGTTACCATGTGCAAGCAAAGACAAATTACAGATTCATGTGAGGAAAGATTGAGCAACTCAAACATTCATTTCTGGACACCCAAATGTTTCTACACATAAATTCCATATTAATCACTGCCCTAAAAAGGACTTTGATCATGATGTTTTTATCTGAATATCAACAAGTTCATACATGAATATGTTGAAATCTCACTGGAAACCTTTTGTTTGTCATTTTGCTATGCAGACTTCATTTTCTGAACTTTCAGTGAGTCGGTCTACAGTGTGGCAGCAGGCAAAAAGACAACTTTAGAAAAGGTGAATTAAACTTCTACTACTATATTACTGTAACAATTACAGCTGTTGTCTCCACATATGTTCTAAAGGCAATCTATCATGTTGTGAAGAGAACTGAAAAAGGATGAACAAAATTTTATAATAAGAAAGAATTTTAGTGGCTCTCATTCAACAGCTTAGCAGTGTGATTAGAACAAAATGGCCCATCTCTGTCAAGTACTCATTTAGGCTGAAATAACTTCTGTAAAGCACAGGTACTACAATACCTGACAAAACAAGCCTTCTCCTCAGATTCCTAGTGAAGATTTCCAGTATCCTGGTAGCTACTTAGGGTTTGAAATTGGGCCACAGATTTAGGAGATATAAATAACTTCTTCCAATAGAAGAACTGTTACACTTCAAAAAAACATTTCACACATTAACACTGGTGTTTGCCATAAAATAAAACAATTCACTGTCACATCACCTGTAAGAAGAGACAACTAGGTTTTGGTAAATCAGCAGGCTAAATACTGCTAATCATTGAGGACTAAGGATCTAGTTTTAGTTGCCACAGACATCTGCTAAACAATGCAAAAAATCAATGAGGCCTTTACTTTCTCTAATAGTCACAACCAAACTGCCTATTGAGAAGGAAACGTTAAACAAATTATTAATGTTTATTGGTAACATAACTGCAATCACAAAGAGTTTACCATCTTACAGCTTAATGCAGGCATACTTAAATCTCTGAAAACAGCAATAATTGCCACATGTATTAATAAAAATCGCAGCCCTTGCTTCCTCTGGGTAGCCAAGGGCTCAAGAATGAAAAATTACTGGAGAACTAGGCTACAGCAGAAGAAAAATACAGTAAAAAGTACAGTTTGCCTGGTCTACACCTAGGTCACACAGTACTATAAATTGCTTGTGTATAAAGTGTCAGGGGAGAAATTCCCAAAGCTTTCTTCAAAGAGCCCTTGCTTTTAGCAGAAAGCTTTCTCTAGTATCCTTAATATTTCATATTCCTGAAGTTATATTATCACAAACAAATATAATAAGACAAAGAGAAAGGGAGAGTGATACATGGTTCAGCATATAAAATTCACATTTTCTCTCAAAGCAGTTGGAACATAAAATTATTGACGTTTTTTCTAAGTTTGCTAAAGTACCATTGGGAGCAAGGCAGTACAAACTGCTGCAGCAATAATTAATACAGCAAATGCATATTCACTACTGTCACTGCATGTTGGTTACAGTTTTTAAGAGCAGCAAATTAGGTAAGCGTGAACGAAAAGATTAAATTCCTACTGAAGAATGTCGCAGTATGCACTACAGTAATCTACCCGTCTTGACTTAAGAGCATAGATCTTTCTAAAGACCTGATTCTGCTTAGTTGCTCAAGTCTTGGTTTTTGCACTCAACCCAGCTGTGATGGGTCAGGGTATTCTTTTACGTGCTAACAGGATGAGAGAGACTCCAGGCAAGAGAAATGGGAGTAGCAGAATCCAGGGCAAACAGCAGTTGTTATTAGCCAAGTCTACGGTAAACAGTGATCACATACTGGTGCAGTGAACTGCAGCAGCACTGAACAGAGACTTCAACATTGCCACTAACAGGTATTGTCATTGGCCTGCCATGATGGGACCATGCATAAGAGCTAACAAAAGACCATATAAACTTACTTGGAGTGAAAATGCTCGTAAAGCAGGAATAGGGATTAAGGCAGCCATGAAGAAAGCAGTAACATTGCTGATAGATGTAAGGGCTACACTTGCTCCTGTTCGTTTCAAACATTCACCTGTTCTGTCCTGCAAAACAAACAATGCATCTTAAAAGTCAAGTGAATAAAGTGATGTCCTGCAAATGAAGGGGTCAACCTACAGATATAACACAGCAACAGTGAAAAATTATTACAGTGAAATTCTGAATACAAGTGTGTCTTTTAGAGTATGTGTGAATGAACAAAATAAAAGTATGCTGTTCAGGAGAAAAGCAGATGACAGTGCTCAGGTTTTTAGAAGGTAGAAAACATTATTGAAGCTGATTCTAGCCTCAAAACATAGAACTAAATGGGTACTGACGTATCAAATACATCTGTAATTAAGTAGGATGTATTTTCTGCCAGTGGACTCACTTGGTGTTCTTATTTTTCAGACAAGGTAAGCATATATCAACAGCGCAGAGGCATGACATAGCTACACATCTTGAAGAAGTACATAACAAAACAAAAAAAACAACCCAAGTCTCAGGAACCACACGCAAAAAATGTGGGGAAATCAAAGTAAACACATGACCCTTTCCCAACCCAACAGGGTATTTTGAAGCATATGGAGGTTACACTAGATTGATGCTGTAGTGCCTGCATGCCAAAACCAGCTGGAAAGAGCACATGGAAGACATTGTTTTTACAAAACAGAATGGGCAAATACACATTGCTTTTAACTGGTTTGTACTTTGGATATGAAACTTTGGATTGAGGGTAAAAAAGGTCAATATAAGGAAAGGATCATAAAAGTAACGACATCTTAGATTTCATAACATTAATATGTTATGCTTTGAAATGTCATGGTCAATTATAAACATCAGAAAGGGGAAAAAAAAGAGAAAAAGATATAAGGTAACTGAAGTTTAAGGCCATAACAAATAAGTGAAGCTAACAGTTGACACAAACGAAATGTTTATTTTCTAAACTGTCCTCCTCTTTCCTTTTTCTGCTCTTTCATTAAAAGCATTCTATCATTTAATTATTGGCTTTGTATTTGAGTTTGTTCCTAAATTTACATTGAATTTCACTGAAATTTTGGGCAGAATTTTTATTATGTAAATTAGCCTTTGTACGACAGCTATAGATCTAATTTTAAAGACAAAATAAATGTAAGACACTATTTAAAAAAGAAAAAGAATATGAACATTCTAAATCATTCTAGGATCACATGTATTGCAATACAAAAAGCTACAGAGAAAAAAAAGTTTTTTCATCACTAACTAATTCTGAATACAGTTATCTTTTCTTATGTGAAGCCTTTTGTTTTCTCTTCCCCCAAATCCCCATCTTGTCATTACCTCAAATGGAATTCTTTTATTCTGCCCTGTTTCACTAAATGCATGTGCCAGAAGGAAAACATCATCTACACCAACTCCAAGAGCAAGAAAAGGTAAAACCTTGGGGGAGAAACAAAACAAACAAAAAACAAGAAAGTTGTTTAATGATCTGTCATGCAGCTAGTCATTAAATGGCTAATCAAGGCAACTTTTACATTACACTATACACAAATCCAAGGGTAAAATGAAAATCAAAAGGATGCAATGCAGCTATTAACTTTTTTTCTGGAATACTGCTGAGGAACAGTACCATTTACAAGTACAAAATCTCACTGAAGTTAATTCAGGTTTTGGGTAGACAAAGCATATCTGTTAATAATTAAGTTGTATTCAAAATATTTTCAGAATTTGAACATCCTGATACATTCAGATGTAAAGACACAACCTGCAGCTTCTTATGTACAACTGGATGCCTCTACTTATACTGGGACACAGAAAAATCAAATAACCCAGAATCCAGTAATTATACAAACTACATGATACCTGGTTTGGTTGGTTTTTTTTTTAATATCATTTGGTAGCATGATCACTTAATTCCTCACAGCATAAGCTATGAGACAGGAGAAAGTGACAAGCAAAATTCTAGAGCCAAAATGCTTTTGCAGCTTTTTTCCCCTCTAAGATTCAGTTCCTTTCAAAGATTCAATTTACTAACAGAGTACTTATAATTTAACAGGAGACTTTTGTCTCCTAAATACCTGAGTTGTGGCGGCATTAAAGGAAATTCCAATCAATGAGCACAGGCCCAATCCTGCAGCCACTGAGAGTGCAACCAACAAGACTCCTGCCAGCCCCACAGCACCCTGAGACTTGGCACAGTCCCACCGCAGCATTGTCAAACAGGCGTAGGCAAGCTAAAGCAAGGAAGGAGGGGGAGAAGGAGTTGAGGGGGGGAAAAGCAAATTATTAGAATGGATCCTTCTCCAACAGCTATCTCTCCTCACCCAAAATACGTATCCTTACAAACATTTCTAAACAGAACAGACACATCACAGATGTTACATAGAGGACAAGCCTGAGACAAAAGTTTAAAAATTATAGTTTTTATTTTAAATATGCCTATATTGTTGTGGACTACTGACTGGTAACAATAAAGCAGATATTTCAGCCCCACTTTACTACCACAGAAAATTAAATAAATTTCTTTTATTACCATTAGTAAGTAGCCACTAGCTACTCTGATAACACTGACATCAGAAAATGACTTTAGGATGTCATCCAGGGTTGTTGTAGTAAAGGAAAGCACCTTCTGAGTAGAGTTTTGTGCAACACTTTGATGAACAACCTACAAAAAGAAAAAATAAAACTAAAAATCAACTACTTCTGCCTTAATGCTCCTGCAAAAACCCAAACCCTATAAAGAGATTATGCTGATGCTACACAAATGTGTTTGGTAATTATTTTTTGCAAGCTACTGATTATCAGACAAGAATCTGCATCCTTCAGAGAAGGCTACTGGATTCCCAGCCCATTCCAAACATTTAAACTGAATCTTCTCCCTGTAACTCCAGCATGGATTTCCTGCAGTAGGAGCTGTGACTTAGAGATGGCCAGCGACCTCTTCAGGGTGCTCCTCTTTCACCCTGCCTGGCCATTCGCAGAGGTCAGAAGGAGCAGAGCAGAGGTCAGAGCTTGGGACACAGAGGCCAGGCATGGTCACACAGCCTGCACCCCGGGGCTGCCACTGGGAGAGCAGCCCATGGCTGGCTAATGTTTTCCAGATGCCTTCAGAATAACCATGCCTATCAAAATCTTTTACATTCCAGCTAGCTCTTTGGAGCTTAGTTCCTTCTCAGCCCCACCAAAGCAAAAATGTCCCATACAGAGAAGAGCAAGAACTTCATGGCTTTTCATATGAGTAACAAAGCAGCTTCTTAATTGGGGAAAAAAGACAATAATACACGAAATATAAATAATATAAGTTATATAGTGAAAATA